CGAGGTATCCTCATCCTGTCTGACTTAGCTTCTCCCTCCCTCCTTTCTTAAGATTCTGTTCTCTTCATGGGAAATTCAATTTTGAGTAACTGTGTTTAGTATTGAGAAGAAGACTTAAGACCGAAACTGCTGCAGAGGGTCTGCTTGATCCTGGGGAGAGGTGGGAGGGGTGGGAGCTCTGCATTACTCTCAATGAATTGTTAATTCAGAGAAGGGATTTAAATCTATTACTGATTATTCTTTGCCACGTGGAGTTGCAGGGATAATGTATCAGCGTAACTTTCTGAGTCTTAAATTCCTTGTGCTACTAGAACATAGCCCGCTCCTAGATGATATGCCTTTACAGAAGTTTGCTTCAACTTGGTATCAACTTCAGATACCTACCTCGGCACCGTAACAGAAAATAAATCTCTTGGGCAAGTTGCCCATCCTACGTGTTGCTGGATTTTAAATTAATACTGAATGCTTGGATTGGGATGCAGATAGCGTTGTGGTCAATGTGACAAGCTTTTACTGCTGCATATGCCGTAGGAAATGCATAAGGGAGCTCTGAAAATACTAGGATGCTTCTAGTAAATGAGGTTACACTTCTGTGGACATAGGCCGTCTCTTTCTGCCTTTCAGTTTTTTTAATTAAAGAAGGAATGGTTGTAGGTTAAGGAACAGTGAGGGACTTGAAAAGTGAATATGGAGAAAACCATCATTTTGCTCTATTTAGAAGGAATGAATACTGTCAAGTTGCAAAGTTCTAGAGAAATACCGATTTTAGGTTTTTATTCACTTGCAGCACAAGAGGAGAAAAGCTGTTGAACAGCATTTTCAAGAGGAGAACTGGTTGCCACGAGGTGTATTTGAAATCAAGAGTTTAGCAGGTTTGCAGTGAAACTTTTTTTTTTAACAATGGAAAAGGGGAGATGACAAGGTCATGTCAAGAACAAGTGTTTCTTTATCTGTCTGGTGCTGTGGGAGAGCTTCTGTAGACTGTTTTATTTGGTATTTCTCCATTTAGAGGTTCCTGCTGTCTCTGGTTTGTGTTCCCATCCCCATCTATAGGCCATATTTCAGAAAAAGTGTAAATATGTATCAAATTGTGTCTGTTCAGCTAAATGTGCAATACTGTAAGCGTGTATCTAAGACTCGTTGAAGGTGGTCAGACTTGCAGACCTGTCCTGTTACACGAGAAGGGAGCACAGAGTTAGAGGCAGAGCATCACGGCAAGTGGGGCGGTAGCCAAACCTGGGATGACAACTCCTATTTTCCTATTATCAGGCCAGGTATTTTGGTTGTGAAAACCAGACTAGCTTGCTTGGGTTGCCACATCTGTTAAGCAATGCAGCTCCTGACATAAACTAGTTCTTCATGGGGAGTCTCTTTAATTCGATGTTCAGGTAGGACCCTGCAGTTGATGGGCTGGCTGTGACACTTCTTGCAGAAGCCCTGTGCTGTACAGGAACTCAGTTTATAGAAAACTATGCTATTCCAAAGTATTTATGAATTTGTTTTAGTGCTGCCAGAAAAGGGAGAAGGAGGATGGAGGTGATCTTTCCCCAAAGAAGCCCGTCCCAGCAGCTCAGGACAGTCTTGCCTGCAGTGTCTCAGACCTGTTGAGGCTGGAGAGGGACAGAGTCTCTCTTCCCCTTCAATCCTTGGCCTCTGCTGATTCTTGCCAGCCAGCGAGCCGTGTGATGACAGTTACCATAAAAGCTTTTGTCATGTTCAGCACCAAATTGTGACACTCCGCAGTGCCTTTCGCTCGGCCGGCTGAGCGGTGGCAGCACTGATGGTCGGGGCTGAAGCTGGAAGCTGTAGGACCTTGCTTTGCCCTGCAACCTGTGCAGTCATTTACGGCAGGGCAGGGTGGCTGCGTAGTCCTGGTAAATCAAAACCATACCCCTGACAACTGCTGTCAGGTTCTCAAGGGACAATGACGTTTTGTATCTTTGTTTTGTCAAATCTCTAGTCATACAGATTTGGAAGTCTGATGCCTGTTTATAGGGATTTGATGGCACTTCCACAGTCAATCAGATTGCATTTTCCACACTTAGTAAGAGTGTGTGTGTGGGGGCAGGGGGGGAAACCGTATGTGGGATTTTAATTTCAGCCTCTTGGTTTTTTCATAAAGTCCATGACGCTTTCTGGACTAATGCAGTTATTCTTTCCTTTAGGGCAGTGCTCTAATTTACCTTGGTTTAGTTGCCTTCATGGCAATTCTTGCCCTCTGCTTATTCAGTTTATCTAATAGTCAACCACAGAAGTTATTTGACTGCTCTGGTGGGAGTGCGCAATATTTAAATCAACAAATATTGAAGGCTTCCTTCAGCCATGTGCCTAGTGCTAAGCACTAGAAACCCCTATCTGTGGTTAGGGAGCTCATTTTTTTGTTTTATTCTGGCACTGACTTTGCTGAAATAATTGTTTAAATGGTCACAGCACAGTTGTTTAAAGACACCAAATGCAGAAAGTGAAACAAGGATTGAAAGAGTAAGTGCATAGCTGCTGGCTCCCTCTGCCCAAGACTTTTCAAATAGTTAAAGAACACTAGAAAAAAATGGCACTTTATCTCCTCCCAGAGTCGTTGCTATCCAAAACAAACCCTTGTGCATCTTATCAGGGCTTTCAGTATGCTGAAGGTGGTCTGGGTGGTGTGAGAAGGCAGCAGATGGAGGTGATGACTTTGAGTCGTGCTTGGAGGGTCACTCAGTTACTGCCTACCAGGGATGGGGTTTCTGCCTGTACCCTGCTGCATGTGCTCCAGTGAGCACTGGTGAGCTCTTTTTGAAGGTTTTGGAGCTGTTTTTGGGGGCTCTGAGCCAGCAGAATCCATGTGGGAGGCAATCACAGGCTGGGTCGCCTGGATTTGGGGGGAATGGACTGCTTAGTGCAGGTGTCTCATCAGGAAAAATGGCCAGAGTTGAACCCCAGGGAAGGGTTACCACTCGTCATCAGGGTTTGAAGACACTTTCCAATAAGACGCTTTGTGCCCGACATCTGTAGCTTTCGGTTGAACATAAAGAGCAGGTCTAGGGCTGTAATTTATGGGTAGGACTAGGCTGGAGGAAGTTGAGCGCTGCAGCAGGTCTTTGAGAGCCCCAACCAACCTGGTTAGAATTCAGCGTTGACCATGCTTCAAGCTGGAGGCTGGATTGGATGGTCTGAGTGTATTGACCAGTTCTAAGAGGGCTTTCAGTTTGGTATGGGAAATGTTTGTCTTTAAATCTCAGATGAGCACCAAAACCCAGGAAGTTTGGGGAATAATGCAGTTGTTGTGGGTGCTAGAATGCATTGCTTTTAGAGTCTAGATCTGCAAGTGTTGTTTGTGCAGAAATCCTTAACAAAACCTTTTAGGTCAACCCAGTGGTAAGGAGTTGGATTGAATGAATGCATGAAAAAGGGTTAGAAAGAAGGGGAGGTGGGTAGGCCCTCAAAGAGTTGGGGAGAGATTCCCCCCAATTGCCACTAACTGGAAAGGGAATTTGGTGCTTTTTGGGAAGAGCTGTTCTGGTGAGTTGTGCAGCGCTGCTTCTCTTCCCTGTGGATGTTTGCACTGAGCTGCCTGTGCTTGGGGGCATGCAGCAAAGCTCTGCAGAGCTCGGCTTTGAACACTCAGCCCAGGTATATTGGACTTGATGTCCTGGGATCCAGGGTCTTGGTTCTGCTTCATGCTTTAGCCTTGCAACAGGTTTTTTCCAGGTCAGCAGAGATACTCAGAATGTTGTTTTCTTTGAGTGTCTGGGCTTCAAGAGCAGCATGAAATGAGGTGCTGATACCCAGCGTGCTGGTCTGGCTTGCAAAGTTGTCCTCCGGTTTGACTCTGGGCCCTTCTGAATACTGTAGGTGAAAATTGCTTTGATTCGAGCTGGTTGTAAATCAGTGCTATCTGCTTTGACAGCCCACTTGGATAAAGCTTTCGCTGGTACTTTCGGTGATGCTTTTCATAACCGTCTGGCCTCTGGAAGGAAAACGATATGAGGAATCCCTAACAGCAGGTTGATTTAATCGTTTTACTGATCATGCCAGTGAATTGTTATCACTCCTGGTTGCCTGGGGAGCTGCTAGTTTGTCGTGTCAGAAACCTTTCTGCAAGTACATGGCGTTCATACTTGGATGACTCAGCTCAGGTCTGAAATCTCTGATGGGACAAATTCATTGATGGGGGAGTGTGGAAATGTCTTGGAAGGAAGGAAAGAAAAACCTTTTTACATGGACTCTTCTGTTTTATCTGTGTGTGAGCTTTTAGTCAGTCTCCAAAAATCTTGCTGCATTTGAATCATGTAATTATTTTAGTCTAGAATTGCATTTAACATGCTTTACCCCTATGTTTACTCTGGCTGTTGCCTCTGAAATGACACCGTGAATCCTGCTCCTGATCTGCTCTATCCTGATGAAAGAGCCAGTCTCCACTGGAAAACATTGCCAGAAGAGCTGTGACTGCCAGGGAGTTATTCCTTACAATGTTTTTGTGTAGTGGCAGAGTCCTGATGTAGACATTTGGCTGCTGAGCTGTGTCTGTGCCGCAAAAGCTCACCCATACTGCCCTACCAGCAAGCTTTTCTTGTGTCAGTCTGGCACTGTGAACGGCTTCGCCAGATATCTGAATACAAGATTGGGCAGTGTTTTGTTTGACATGCGAGGTGTTGACATATGGTCCAATAAATGCAGTTATTGGAGAAGCTAAAGATAATATTTACCTTGAAAAATCCATAGTTGAGAATAAATGACCACATTTGCAGCTGAGGGAAGTGAGAATGAGTGCACTGCTTTCAACTGAGCCACTCAGCCCAATTTTCACCATCTGAGGATCCAGGCAAGCCCGTCAGGTAGGTGAGTGAGCAACCTAGGAGGCAGGTAGATAGATAGATATATAACAAGCAGATTTCTGGAGGAGAGGTTTGCTCTTCATTAGCCACTGTGAGTAGCTCTACCTTCTCTTTGGAGTTTTGATACCGCTTGTGACCCTTTTCTTTCTCCTCTCTTCCTCCTTATCCTCCCTCTTTCTCCAGGGTTTAATGCCATGGCTGCAGATGAAAGTGCTACAGAAAAGCAAGCGGGGGAACCAAAAATGGCAGTAGACGGTGAAACCAACGGTTCCTGTGAGCACAGCGAAGCTGGTAGCCACCCAAACCCAGCTAAAAACACTCAGGACAATACGAAAGTGAGCCAGCAGGACTCTAGTACTAAGTTAAATAGGATAGCAGAAAATGGCATTTCTGAACGAGATGGCGAGACTGGGAAGCAAAACCATATGAAAGCTAATGACTTCACACAGACTTCTGTAACAGGGAGCAATGGATTTATTCTAACCAAGCAGATGGCACAGGAGCAACCTCTAAGGACTACCAGCACCTTTGCTTCTCTCACCGGCCATGCTGCAAAAACCCTTCCAGGAGGAGCAAGCAAAGGGAGAACTGTGGGCTCCTTTTCTCAGATGCAAGCCACGATGCCAACCAAGCTCGGGGAGGGCAGTAAGGACATGGATGCTAAAAAAGTCACCGCTGCTAACGCTGAAGTCAAGGTCCACAGAGCACGGAAGACAATGCCTAAACCCACCCCTAGCCTGGTAATGTATATGCCCAGCAGTCAGTGCTGCTGCTGCTGCGATTGCTCTTGGCTTTCTTTGAGTGCGTGAAAGGGATACCTTGCTGGATGGGAACACGCGTAATTCAGAGGTGTCCCACTGACTGGATCGATTTTTCTTTTTTTTTTTTAATATTTTTTTAATTTATTTTTACTTTTTTTCTCTTCCTACAGAGAGACAGAGGTGTTAAAATAGAGTCACATGGCCACCATCAGCTCTCTTCCCCAGTGTGTTTCTAAATATATCATTAATCAATTTCCTTCTCCAACAGATCTGTGCGAGACACTAAATGGCCTTTCTCTTTTGGCTTTGCTCATCAGCCGTCTGCTGAAATCCAGAGCTGCTTGTGAAACAAATTAGATTTCTTATAAGTTCGACCCAAAGGAAATTAAGCATAGCATGTTAACTTGAGGTTTCTCCTGAGCTTGAAAGCTGTCACAAAGCTGATATGTTAGGCAACTTGATTGCATTGTGTATCATTATAGTAGTAAACCTGATGATGTTTTCTGTGTCTCTGTATGTTGCCTGCACTAATGCAACTTGTTCAGAAATCTTCACTCCAGAATCCTTAAGCGTGAGTTTACCATCACTTAATAAAACAGAGCTCTGCCTTTTTTTCAGGAGGTAAAAGGAGATATGAAGTCATCTGGTGCAATCATGTTATAGCGGGGTGAACAGAAATGGGCCTTTCTTTGTCATTGGCCAAGTTTGGTTCTTTTGGTTATTTTTTTTGGTTCTTTTGACAAAGATAGGGAATAGAGACTGGAGCAGGCAGATCTCCACTACAAGCACTTGATCTCCAGCCCTGTGATGCTTTATATTTAGCTACAGTGAGCTAGATCCTCTCATTGTGCTATGTCTAATGATGGAGAGAGACTGGCCTTTAGGTACCCTGCACCTAAGTCGAGGAAAGGATTGTGAGCCCTGCTTCGCAATGCGAGTCACACCCAGAAATAAATGGGAAGCTGTCATGGCTTTGTAAAGGTTGGTGCAATGGATTGCTGTTAGCTAGCAGCATATTACGGACCAGCAAATGCAAAGTGATCCTCAGATGTCACCCACGTGTTGCAGCACAGCCGTAATATGATGTAAAGGTCTCAAAGCTGTGAATTGCTGTGGTCTGGAGCAGGGGAAGAGAGAAAAAGAAAAAAAAAAAAAAAAAAAAAAAAGGCACCTAGCCAGCCGCAGATGGGGAAAGGTGCCCTTGGCTGCGGCACCACCTGTGCCTCCGGAAGCAGGTGGGAGTCCAAAGAGGACATCAAGATTACAAACCTCGTGGGCACCCAGCCTCGGTTGTAGGGCAGAAACCACACCTGCCATGATTTCCCAACCATTCTCCCAAACCACTGATTTCCCCTCTGTCTTCCCCTGATTACATTTGAATTCTCTCACTTTCGCACCCCGGCTGTGTTTTCTGGCTAGTAAGCGGGGAAGCCCAGATGCAATACATGCATCTGATGAAAATCTCGCATAAAGCTCTCTCTTACCCAAACAAGGCTTTGCAACCGAAACTGCCTCGCAGCTTTCCTCCAGCAGCCTGTTGTGCACTTAAATTAGGCCAGGCAAACCCCCAGACCCTTGTGGAATTTGACAGGGAGAGATCTCTTGGGGCTGAGCAATTGAAAGAGGCAGTTCACTTCTAGAAGACAACTGCTAGGTTAGGAGGGAGTGTTTTCCTCATTCATATTTTATGATGCATCAAAAGAATATTTTTTACGCAACCCTTTGGGCTTCAAGGTTTTTCTCTAGGAAGCTGTGTGCAATGTTTGCGAATGCTTGCAGCGCACCGTTACACGAGTTGCTGTGATAGTGCTGTTGATCGTTATTTTCTCATACAGTAGCAATGGCTTCACAAACCAAAGCCTACAGTTGCTGGGCCACTCTGGAAAGCGCATAGCCTGTCCTCAGCACCTCTGGCCATTTCCCTTGGCCTTAAAATAGGGAGAGAAACAAAAAGGGTGGTAAGAGGAGGCCATTCCCATGTTCTCTGCTCAAGCCTCTGAATGTGAACCCGAGATTTGATCTCATTTCTGCAAGACAATAAAACATCTGTTTTGTTCAGCCTTCCTGATAATTACATTGTCTTTTGAATTTACATGCTATTTTCTTTTGAGTAGCTGAGTCCTTGTGCTAGTTATCATTTTTCTCTCCTGATTATTTCTTTGTTGAGCTGCTTGGAAGAGGCTCGTCAGCATAGCATTGCAGTAACTTTTTCACGCACCAGCCTCCACGTTCACACCTTTTCCCCTTCAAAAACACCATGATAGCAGGTGCTGTATTCCAGGAAATAAATTGTGGAAATCACCCAGAAGTTGATGTTACAGGACACGGTAATTTTCTTTGCTAATATTTTTTAGACCATTGTTGTTTTCTTGACAGACTGTTGCTGCAGACCTGTGCTACTTAGGAGAAGGAGAGGAGGAAGGTATTTTGTTGCCTGCAAAGTGTAAACAGTTGTTCCTCCCAGCTCCTGCAGAAACCCCCCGGGGCCAAGAAATTATTTTCTGTAATCCAATAGCTGTCAGGGGACCTTGGTAGCCTTTTCTTGCCCATGTGGATTGGTCTTTGAAAGGAAGAAGATAATTTTCCAACAAGTTTAACCAGCTTTTTCTCTGTTTAGGAGTTGCTTCCTGAATTGGGATCGAAGCTGAATCTGAAACAGGTGACAATTTTAATTGATGTTGTCGCATGTTAAGGTGGTTTTTGAACAGAGACTTCAGAAGAGTTGTTGGCAGCATCATTTCTGCTTCCCTTTTGAGTAGTGCAGTAACACAAGCATTGCACCTTTTGGAAGAATTTTTTTCCTTCGTAATCCATTTAATGATTGGGTTCCTATTAAGAACCCAAAAGTTTCCAGGGCCAGGCAACAGACTGACGACCAAGTGTGTGTGTGTGTGTGTGTTCTGTGCTTGGAGAAGGCCCCTCCTGCTGGGAAACTCCAGTTTCTGAGACTAACATCACTAAGATGTGTCTGGAAGGGATAAAGGATGATAAAGGTAGTGAAAGCATCCCATAGTTATCTCTTGATATAAGAGGGAGCAGATGGCTGAATTGGGAATCCCAGGTTATGTTTCTGTTCATTACTTGGTGATCACAAGGCTGTTGTTTGAGGTATGTGTCTCTGGTGGTATTTGTTTATGCTGTGCAGAGGACTGGGTCAGGGGAACTGAACTGTCAGAAGTAGTAGTGCAAAAATCTGTGAAATACAGTGTCTCAGCTTGATTCACAGGGTGAGCCCAAAATGTAGGCTACCGATTTAACTGAGGGAGACAAAGCCTGGGCAGGAAGGAGGAGCTTGGAGCAGGAGATGCTTGCTTATGTTGGTGTTTCTACCAACATTCATCAAACTATACCTTTAAGCAGCATTGCCACTCAATATCTGATCCCAGAGCTAGTAAGCTGCTTGCTTTCTGCGTGCACACAGGTGTTGCTGTTGCTGTAAAGTAGCATTTTCTGTGTCAGTGCCCAGTGGTACTGTGGCGGTGTGCTGACGTGGTCTGTGGGTTGCTCTGCAGGAGCTCCTGTCCTAAGAACATCTTGTGTTCATCTCTTGGAGCCAGGCAGGTGGCAGTTGGTGGTTTGCAAGCGCCTGGGATTGCTCAGCAGGCTCAGACTCTCTAATATGCAGAAAACTCAAAACAAAGGGCAGATCCTAATGAGGATGGTGATGGAGATGTTGTCTCCTTGGGGGGAAAAAATAAATGAAGAATACAGGGCATAGTGAAATAGAGCTGTCCATCTGATTGCAAGTGCTGCTGTCAGTTTGTCTGAACCTGGAAGGTGCACTCATTGAGGATGCTCTCCGAGGGGTACCCAGGTGTGCCCAGGTGGACTGAGAGCGTGAAGTCCATGTGTGCGAGCTTGGCCACAGTTAAATATCCCCTATGGGAAGTCTCCTTCAGGAGTGACAAGGCCGTAGACTACCATAGGACTTCTTTTATAGAGGAAGAGGGACATAGAAAGTGAAGGTATGTTGTGCAGTCCTTTTAATTTCATATTTAACTGGTTGTGCTTACGCTGATGACATGGCTGTGCCAGCTGAAGGTGGCTGCCCCAGCTGCTGACCACAGCCTACAGACACAACCATCCCAGATCCCCAGCAGACCCATTTCTGTCAGGAGGCTTGCTGTTGAAACTGGTTTGAGCTACCCTGTTTCATTTTGACTGATGTATGATACTCTCTTCCGCTGGAGCTGCTCAGTCTGGGAGGGGACAGGGGCAAGGAGTGGGGTCTGTCCCTCTGACCCAGCAGAGTCCACACCTCTGAACAATGCTGGTTCAGAAACCCATTAAATGCAGGTTTGTAGCTTGGTTTAGAAACATCTAGACTTAAGTGCAGTCTGCCTGGCAGCCTAAACCGCTATGATTTTATGCAGATATGCGACCACACACAAATCAGTGTAGGTGTAATCGAGTCACACCGGAATCCCTCTTCTAATGGGCACGTGTTAATCTGCAGGTAAAATGGCGTTAATAGGTGGGTCAGTCTTACAGCTTGTCTGATCTAGATTAAGACCAACGGTGCACAAGTTTCTTTTCATTGCTCCAAGGTAAAGCTTAGGCAGTGGTCAGGACTCCCCGGCAGCTGTGCTGAAATTCGGTAGTGAAAAATATAATTCTGCAGCAGCAAGGGAAAGGGAGAGTAGCAGCACTACAGCTCCTACAGGTGCTGTCATTTGCTTGTGATAAATTTTTTATAGCAGACTGATACTTTTTGCTTCAATATCATTCACCAGTTGTTAGAGGCAGATACCCCTTCAGAACTTGCTGCTTTGTGCTGTTCAAAGGCAGCACCTTGGTACAAATCTGGTTACCCCTCTGTATGATGGATGGAGGGAAGAGGGTTACTCCACGACAGCTGCTCTGTTGGCCAGTGTTTACTTTTTATAAACACTTAAAATACTGTGTTCTTGTCCCAGTCGAAGCAGTTTTCTTGACTATTTTTCTCATAATAGTTGTGATCTTATTTTTGCTGTTCCCAGGGACAGGCATCTCTGGAAACGTTGGCCTGAGCATTGGAATAGCTGTCTTCAGCTTCTTGACTATTCCTTGCAATGTCCAATATGAAATAGTGACTTTACAGCCTTTTGCATAGGATGAGCTGATACCACATGAGAAACTGCAAGAAATGAAGATCTTAGCGACGCAGTTTCTTTCTCTATCATTTTTGGTCCTTTCTTGGCCCGCAGTGGCCCACACATGTGGTGATTAGGACAACATGCGAACACAGGGAGCTCAAACTGTGTCCTGGAGTTGCCTTTGCACACGATTCTCCTCACTGTACTTCTCTAAAACTGTAGATGAAAACTCTGCTTGACTATTAAATATAATTGGTGAAAAAAAGAAAAGTACCATGGCCATTTTGGACAAGGATAACACATGGCAATGGAGTTTATTTAGGGTCAGGAACAGTGCTTCTCACCTCTAATTTTGCTGTTTGCAGTGGAGCCCATGTAGGTGTTAGATGAAAGCACCTCTGCTCTCTGGAATGTTTATTGGTTTAAGTGAAGGAGGATGATCTTCATCCAATTTCTGAGTGTAGGAGTCTGCTTAGTTAAAAATGTGGGCAACTCAAAGTGTGTGTGCCCTTGTTAGTATTCTTAGCAGGTCAGTCCATGTCCAACAGATCACTGAAAGCCGTGCATCGCTTTTCTGGTGCGGTTGCTTCTGGTGCAGGCTCCAGCATTGCCAGTCTGGCATTTTCCACCTTTAGCAGGAGCCTCTGGATCGTCAGGAAACGAAGCAGGAACGTGTTAGGATTTCTCACAGCAAATTGGATGAGTGGATGTTGACTAGCAGTCAGCTCTATTGGGTTTGCTGAAGCGCTTGCTGTTCGCAACCCCCTTTGTGCTTTGCCAGCACCAGTGTCCTCTGCTGGGAAAAGGTAAGGGAGGCCGTAAACCAAGAAGCAGGAGTTTGCTTGGAGGGATATGGAGCTGCAAGCAGTTTTATAGATACCTGCTTGATGCTGTGCCTTGTGCTGTGGACGGGGAGGGCAGGAGGAACCCATCCATCATGTAACTGGAGGAAGGTGGCATGTGACAGGAGCATTAATTGCTGTGCCAGTGGCCGTATAGCCCACAGAGGTAGCTTAGAGCTGGGTCCTACCAGCCACGGGCTGGGGCATGGGGTGGCAGGGCTGGAGGTAGCTGCTCTGCCTGTTCTGCCAGAGAAACCTTCATCTGAGGTTTTCCTTGGACAGCCTTTTCCCTAGCAGGAAACTCGCTGCAAGCTAAATGGATGTGCAGCATTTTGAGAAGTCCTCTGGTGGTGCTGGGGGCTTGCAGGTGGATCTGTGATCTTTGTGTTTAAATGGATCGCTGCAATTTTTTGTTTCCGTTTTGCTTTGATAGGAGTCTGTTGTGCCCCAGATAGTCTAGCAGCCACTCGCCCTACTCCCAAATGCACAATCTGTCTTCAGCCTTTGCTTCTTTTATTGGAACTTGCCCACTCTCCTCTGCTGAGAGGTGTCACATGCCAGCTGCAAGCTGGGCAGCGAAGGATGCAGAATATCTTTGCGAGGAAGGGCCCAGGTATGCTTGAACCAACTCTTAGCCAGCGTGGTGGGATTTTAAGGAAGAAGCAATTTCCCAGCAGACCGGTGTGCTAGATTGGCAAAACCTTTTCTGAGAGTGTTGAAATTTGGAGCAGGTAGAGCCAAGCATAAAAGCTCAGTGTAGGAGACCAGGATGGGCTGTAGCCAAGCTCAGTGTAGGAGACCAGGATGGGCTGTACCCAAAGGCTGGAGTTAAGGAACTGGCAGAATTCAGAGACATTAGAAGAGGGAAAAGAATAAAGTTTCACCCACTAAACACTCTACTTTAGTAAAATGTAATAAGAACATCAAAGATGTAACTGTTACCTAGCCAAGAATGAAGAAGGATGGTGAGAAAACTGAGTATAAGTGCTTTCAAATCTTTGCTGATCTTTTTTATTACAATCATTAGGTTGAGTATTTTTATATATATATACATAGACACGTGTGTGAGAGGGATATATGTTTTACTGCTGGCCTGCCAAGCTTCCCATGGCATCAGGCTTCCTGAGAGACCTGGTCACCCCTCTGCAGGAATTCTTGTTCTTTAGCATTACTGCATATGCCTGCAAGTAATAATCCAGATCTCACAAAGCTTAATTTGATTAAAAAAACCTGTTTTACCAGAATTGCCATGAAGAAGTCACATTCAACAGTTGTCACGCAGCCCTATTGAAGATTTTTAATTTATTTCCATATTGTAATTACAAGGGAAGAGAAAAACCCCAAGCTAATAACGTACTACTTTATCATTTAAAATTTGATTTTGTTCTTCCAAACAGTCTAGCATGGTCTGAACGTGAATTCTTGATGTTTGGGAGTAACAGTGTGTTTTATCAGACACCAGTTGCAAGAACCTGCACTTAAAGGACAGAAAATACAGCCCTTATGTACACTTGTTGCAGGCAGCTCTGCGTCAGATCTGCCTCTCCCAAGCTCATTTTTCTAATTTTAAGTTAAAAATGGAAAGCAGTGGATGTTCCAGGGGACTTGGGAATTCTCAGAATAATCCTGTAGCCGAGAGTTACTGTTAACCTTTAGATCTATAAACTAGGGACTTTTAAGAGGTATAAATATTATTGTTGAGACTATTATTGGCAAACTGTGCCCAGCACTCCTAACATACCTTTTTTTAAGGAGTAGAACAACTGGGAGCAGGAGTGATCCAATATCCAGAAAATGGTCCTGTGGACACTTAATTGGCTCATTCTTTTAAACTTACTGAAGAGAAACTTTAAAAAGAAAAAAAAAAAAAAGAGGTTGGTCATAGTCCATAAGTATCTACTTGGAGTGAGAGTTTCTGACGATACAGGGCTTTTTAATTTACTTGAAAAAGCATCATGCATTTAATAATTGCCAGTGAGAGCAATTAAGCATTGGAACAACATATCAAAGGGTATGGTAGATTTGCTGTCTTTGAAATCATTAATCCAAGACTAGATGCCTTTTAAGAAAAGATGTGGCAATTCAGCCATAAGTTATGGGCTTGATGCAGGAATCGTTGGCAATTTGATGGCCTTTTTATGCAGGTCATTTTTGATTATCATTACAGCTTCTCTGTCTGTGACCGAGTCCTTGCTTTCTGCCAGCAGTGTGCACATGGCAGAGCTGTAATTAGGAGAATCAGTCACTTCCCCATTTATTCACAAGGTCACGTTACTTGAAAGCAGTGTCTTAAGAGTGCCTATCAGAACCTGGACTTTAAAGAGTGTTTTTATTGCTTGCTACTTTTTATTCCTTTTTTTCTTTTGCCTGGATTCCTCTTTCTGTTTTGGTATTTCAGCTGTTGCTTCAGAAGTCTCATAAGAAGTATTTTCCTGCAAGTGGAGCAGCACTGAAACATTGCCACCGCAGAGCTTGTCATCTGCTAACTGTGCTTTTGGTTTTCTGGAGCATCTCTGCCAAACCTGCCTCTTACTTGAGTGAACAGATGTATGGAGAGGTGTGGATGCAGCTAGGTCATCTGTTAAATACATAAGAGGGCAAATCCAGTGTAAAATGTCAAAGTGGAGTGGCAGCATTTACCCCACTCTCTGTTAATGCAGCGGTTGCCGCAAAAGGTGTAGCACTGTGGGATGTGGAGCTGTAGGAACTCTGCTTTCATCAGCAAAGGTGCTGCAGGAGATTGTGCATTGAGTACGAGCTCAAATCAGAGTGGATGCAAGCTGCCTTGGTGCCTGGGAGCCTGGCTCCAGCGACAGGGAGTCCAGTAGCAACTACACAATTCTCTTGGCTTTCAGTAGGAGCTTGTAGCCTGCCCTGTGTTTGGTGTTGCAACAGCTAGATTGGGAGTACCTGCGCTTGCTGGTTTAAAGTAAGCTTGGACAGGTCTTTGCTGCAGCAGTGGCAGCGCTGTAGATGAACTTGCAGTGTCAAGTAAATACATTATTTGCCCATGTTTTGGTGTGTGCTAGGCTACAGGTGGGAGCCTTTGCTAAGACTGGATTGTGCCAAATGCTGCCCGAAAGGAAGGACCCCTTCCCGTCGCTGCCTGCCCGTCCGAAAAGTCTCTGCGAGACTCTGTTCTCGTGCATGCTTGATGTGACAGCCGCACTCGGGGCGTGTTTCAGGGAATAGGTGTATTTGTTGCATTTGTTCATCTTCTCCAGAGCCAACCAAATGCCTGTGTAAATAGTGTCTGATCCTTTTCATTATCTGCAGTTGCTTTGGATCTGCCACTCTGGCTCTGCGAGGTAGCCTTTCACCTTCAAAGGCAGCAGCCTTCAACAAGTGAAGGAGCCCCAGGCTGGGAATGTTTTGCTGTCTTCAGGCAAAGTAACTTTATGTGCTAGAGGAGGGGCTGTGTGCTTTTGCTTTGAATGTGTGGTCCTGTCTTCAAGTGAAAGTCATTATGCTTGAGAGAAAGGAATTAAATTTATCTTCAGATTATTTTTTTTTTTTGGTAAAAAAATTTTTTTTTTTTTACTGCAGAGGCTCAATTTAACTGCATTTTATTTTCCAGCATGCAAGTAAAGACCCCAAAGATGGGAGAGACAGCAGAGATCAAAAAGAATCCAAGGAGGAAGGCAACAAAAACATCCTGGAATTTGGGAAGCCGTTGCCGTTGCCCTCTCTCCCGGGCCTTCACCAGTCACTACCTCAGAACCAGAGCTATGTGGCCACCACGAAGTCACAGACAGGTAAGAAGGACAGAGTTAAAAGCCCTAGCAGCACCTACCTCCCAAACGTGTGTCTATGTGTGGTTGACTGGGAGGTAAGGGAGGTTAACAAGGACTGAAACCTCTGTTAGTACCTTTTTCCCACTGAATCTCCTTCAGGGTTTCCTTTCCTGCTGGCATCAGTAGGGCTGCTGCCGTAGACCTTGTTTGACAGATGCCATTTCATCTAGCCACTTCTCTGCAAGTGGCTGGTGCACTGCAAGCGTGATGCCGGTGTCCTCTCAACTCCCAGCAAGTCACCTCGGGATTTGTACAGGGTATATTCTTTCAGTCCACTGTTAAAGTAACCTCCCAAGTGAAGTCTACCAGTTTTCTGCTCTGCACGGAGCACCTGCCATACAGTCCTTCCTGCACCACCTTGTTTCATGGGGTGCAGGTGCCTCCCAGGCGACGTAGGCAGGTAGGCGTGCTCCGTCAGGCACCACCACACCGAGGATCACTCTTCTGCTAAAACTTGTCATTAGGGGAGACGCTTTCATCCCATCTTCCTATGTGATATTCTGAAGATGTTTCTATCAATTCTGAGGGACTTTGTGTATGGCTACAACAACTGGTGACGATAAACTACATCCTTGTAAATAAATTTAATTGGGTTAAGAGATTTTTGGAGAGATCTTTTCATAGATTTTTGGTGAAATTCCATCATAGTGGGAGATGAAGAAATGCTTTCAAGGAACAGGCTGTACAGCTACAAATGACTAATAGCGGCTCTGAAGCTGGCTCTTCCTTGTTGTACACTATCCTTAAAAGAGCCTGCACTAAGCATCCTTCTGATGTGTATTCACCAAAGACAGCATCAGGCAGTGAGGTGTGGTGGCTGATTTGATTAGAAGGCCAGGAGGGAGACGTAACAAATTAAGTCTCGATCAAAGTAGTGAAAGGAATCAAACAAACTTCCATAGTAGGTGTGAAATCAGGTTAAATGGCAAACGGCTCTTTATTTAAGGTACCATTTCCCTGTGTGTTCTTCAGTTATTGTACAATCGCTTTCATTGTAAGTTGATATTATTAGCCTTGCAGTGTCTATTTCAGCAAGTTGGATTCTATTCAGCCTCCTACGGCATCAGCAAAACTGCCAAATGCAGGCTAATTTAAGGATTTGATATCGTGTATGGTGATATAGGGGCCAGGAGGAGTGTGGAGAAGATACTCAGAATTTGGGTGGGTTTGCAGCACTGGCAGAAAGCTCTTCGTGTGTTTGCATGTATGTGTGTGTCATCGTTTGGTTGACTTGTAAACAAATCAGTTGGAGTGGGAAGCCTTTTTCTCAGATTGTGACCTCAAATGTGATTTGCCCTCACTACAGCCTCTACTCTCTATCCATTCTGCTCTTCATTCCTGAGCAAACTTTGGGTTTCTTTTGCTTCTCTTTTCCAGCTGCTGCAGTATCTCGGAAGAAAAAACGGAGAATGGGAACCTATAGCCTGGTTCCCAAGAAAAAGACCAAAGTGTTAAAACAGAGAACAATGATTGAGATGTTTAAGAGCATAACTCATTCTTCTGCGGGTGCCAAGGTAAGGGGAGTGCTTAGCCCACTGGACATGTTTGTTGTCACCATACATGTCCCTTGTCCTGGCACACCAACCCCACGTATAGGTGCAGGAATGTACTGGCTTGTTGCGGTCAGCATCTTCCCTTCTGAGTCTACATCTTCTCTCTGGCAACAGCATCCTGCCCATAGCAGCCTTGCTGCTTTGAAAATGACTTTTTGAGAGTGGCTGTTCAGATACCAGCTCTTAAACAAACATTTTCCAGTGAATGTTCCCCGTCTGTCCTGTGAGTCCTGTGCAATTGGAGAGATTTCAAGCATACCCCGTGTGGTAACCTTTTTGTTTCGGTGTCCTCAGGGTAGCTGTCTACTGTTGCTGCTTGAGGCTGTACAGCAAAACAGCTCGTTACTTAAAAAGGTTTAGACAGGGACTGACTCCTGATCAAATTCTGATTTTGCTGCAACCCATACCCTGAAGTTTTGGTCCTTGCATTCAAGGAGAACAATGCTAGGCTTTCATGGAGTGGAGTGAAAATCCCTCTGTGATATAGCTTCCCTTTGCATTCCCTAGAAACCTTCTTGCAGTCTTCGTGGAGCTACCCTTCCATGTTTGAATTAGACTGCGAGGGTCTGTCTGAAGGCTCCTGCCCAGCAGCCCTCGTCTCCTTAATGCCTTGTACAGCCACGTGAGTCTGGAATGACTCCTCGTGGCTCCTCAGTCCCCAGATCAACATAGTTAGGTGACACATAGTAGGCTCTCAAGGCTGGCTTTGCTGGCAGCATCGAAGAGCTCTGGAAGGACATACAACCAGCTTTCCCCTGGCACCTTTAAGGCTCCTAGCACAGAGGTAGTCTGGGATGGATTCAGCTGCTCTGTCCTATGAATTGATGTTGTCTTTGTGGCTCACATACTTGGATGACTTTCAGAGTGAAAAGGACCTGGGTGATGCCAGCCCTCATGTGAACGGGGAAAGCATAGATGTAGACTCTGAAGAGGAAGACTCAGATGAGTTGGAAGAGGAGGATGATCATGGAGCAGAACAGGCAGCTGTGTTTCCTGCAGATGATAACAGGACCTCTAAAGACAGCGCCTCTGATGCAGACAATGCCAGAAAGGTATTCACATATCCTGTGCAGGACTTGAAGGAGTGGGATGGCAGACTGCTTGTGCACGTCGGATAGGGTTGACATGAGTTGAGGCAATTTCTAGGTTTTCTTAGCCTGCAAGATGGCAGAAAGCGCAGCAGTGGTAGTGCAGCTTTTTGATGACCATTTCCTGCTCCCCATTGCACCTGTGAGAGTCTCCCCACCTACCCCCCAGTTTCAGCCTTGCTACATAAGTCTGTGGTCCACTATATATGCAGAACCCCCACCACATTTAGTCATGGGATTCACTGAACCAGTAAGAGACATCTTCCTGGTCTTGCTTGTCACAGGCTAGTAAAGCACTAAAATTAACTTTGTTCATTTTTTCCCAAATCATGATGCATAGTGTAGACATGAGGCTGGTTTTGGATAATCAAGGAAGTTAAAATTTGGTTGGAAAACTTTCTTCTGGGGTGGAATTTTTCTTTCCCCTGCACCATCCCCATGGATGAACCATGGCATGCATTAACAGCCTTGGAGTTCTTGTCCTGGAGAGGAAATTCTGTTAGTGCAGGTGCAGGCTGGGGCTGGGTGCTGGGCGCAGCAGAATGATGAGGGGATGCTTTGCTGCGTGGGGGCACAGCAGGATGACACGGGGATGCCCAGCTTTGAGAGACCTGCCCTGCCCTGGCTGACTCTTTCTGTTCTTGGGCAAATGGTGGCTGCAGATTGATGATGGCGAGTCTGAGGAGGAACAAGAGTCTGGAGAGTCTGGGGAGGAGGAGGAAGATGGAGATGAGTCTGACTTGGTAAGCCTGGCTGCTAAATGTGCCTTTGTCCTGTTGATAATAATTTCCCCTTTGCACTGCTGCCAGAAAGAGAGCAAGAGAGCAAAGTGGTGTAGTTTCGTGTCTCTGACAAAACTCTGAAACCACCCACACGCAGAGTATTGTTTTCCACAAGGTGCTTAACCCTGATCTGCGATACAATTAATTGCTTTCTGATGCTAATTAATGGGCTTTTGTTTGTTTTTAACAAGATGTTGGCTGCTTTTAATCATTTGAATGTTAGTAGAAATATTTAAGGGTGCTTAAATTCTTCAGATGCAAACTTGGGAAGTGGTAGGAGCCAGCAATATTTTCTTAACAACTTGAAGCTTTGCAAGGCTTTTTGGAGCTTAGGTAGAGTTATTCACAAATCCATCTGCCCAGCCCACAGCCTAAATTCACATTGATCTGACATGCCACTTCACGGTACCAGATAAGCAGCTCTTAACAGGGAGGCAAATAGCAGACAGACAGACAGACACTCTCCCTAGGAGGTTGTCTGTATAGTGCTAGGGCAAGACTTTCACCAGCTACTGGTGATTTTTTACTTTTTATTTTTAAATGGTTGGTGAAGAGAACCTGATTTATTTTTTTATTATTTAAATTGTTGTTAATTGATTGTCTCTGTCCCCCACCCTCCCCTTTACATAAAAATTTTGCTCCCTTTCCACAGCATCTCAAGTTGAGGAGCCAGCATTTAAGGCACCCCAACTCTTCAGTCACCTTGAGAAAATTTTGGGCTTCATTTTCTTGATATTTTGAGCTGAAGGTAGAAATGACTATACCAAGTGAATCGTTGAAGCTCTTTAGGGTCTTGTCCCTTGTGCTCTGACACTACAGGACCCAGAGAGGACTAAGCAGCAGGGGCTTTGTAGCCTGCCCCTCTCTTTGGGTAGCTGAGGTCAGTCTGTAGTGTTAGCTCAAACCAAGAGTTGAGCTTGCAGTCAAGTCCAAACTCCCAAGTCATATCTCCACATCCTAGATGGTGGTTTTTGCTCTGCTCATATCTGGTGAGTCAGTTGGTTCCCCAGCCAGGGACTGGCTCAAACGCAACCCTCTCCCCCACAAGCAGTGTGATGCAATTGGTGTAAGCCACGTGGCAGAGCACAGCTGAGCCCACACTCGGGGACGGTTATCAGGGGCGGCATAGACACGCCGTAGAGCTGCCCCGGAGAGCCAGGGCTCAGCACTGCCTTTGCTTGGCTTCGCTCACTGTGATAACAGGGCATGGTGCAGCATCAGCTTCCTATGAAGGTAGGGCCTGATCCAGCTGCTGTTAATGGTAGCAGGAGGTTTTTCATAGGCTTTAGTGGGAGATGGATAAGCATCAGGAGCTGACAGTTTCAGTTTGAACGTGAATTTTATGATTGATGTGTTGAAGACTGCCTTACAGGATTGGGGTGGCTGATTCTCCGTTCTGACGTTGACTTTGAAAACCCATCCCAGACAACTGTATTTTTTTAAACCAAACCTCAAAGCCTGCTTAGATTCCTGTATGTGTCTGAGTATTTGCAGCATGATTAGTCCTTGATACCCTGTACCTTGCTCAGGGAGGGGGCTCGTCTGCTGCCGTAGAGTTCAGTTCCCCGGGTTCCATCCCAACCCTGTAAGGTGGCTCTTCAAGTGCAAGGCGGGTTTTGTTGGCATTTTCTAGCATGACTCTGGAGCAATGTGAATATTTTAGTTTGAAACAACCCACAATATTTCTGGGGAGAAGCTAAAAGTGTGTGTGTGCCTGCATATTTGCATTGCTGTGCAGAGGTGCTTGGCTACTACTGCGATGAGTGTGGTGTAACAGCCTACGTGGAAGAGAAAGTGAAGCATGCACTATTGAAATGACAGGAAATACACCCACACGTGTGCTTGTGTTTCCTTTTCGGCGCTATAAAGACATCTTAGCACCACTTGATTTCAAACCCCCAGTCCTTAAGGCCTTTTCGCACAACTCAAGCTGCGAGAAGGTTCTTTCGAATGGGCGCAAAGGACTGCTGGGACGCTGATGCCAACATGCCTTACATGCACCTGGCCTCTCTGGTTATTCAGAGCTCAGAGTCCAGCGTCAAGAAGAAGCTGCTGAAGAGGAAAGGAAAGACGGACAGTCCATGGCTGAAACCCACCCGCAAGAGGAGACGGAGGAATAAAAAGAAACAAGCCAGTGTGCTAGGTAACTAATTGTGTTTTGTTCCTTAACGACACAGAAATTAGCCTTCCAGGTGGAGGGGTAAGGGTAAGCACCTGAGGCCCATAAGGCAGTGGCTGGCTGCAGAGCTCACTCTTCCTTTACAAGGACAGGCTGTATGAAAAACCAGGCTGTGAACTTGCATCTCACTGACAGTAGCTGCTGGTGTGCACACTTTTAACAGCAGGATACATCTGGGGTGGCTCTATTCTTGGCATGCTGGAGGAATATTTTTTTTTGTGTTCATGAATGCCCTTTGTTTTAGGGTATCCAAAAAAGACCTCGTGGACTCATGTCCACGTGGATCCATGTCCCATGAGCTTGGGGAGTGTGGTTAGGTACAGAAGGGAAAGGCAGGACCACCCGAGAGTGATGCTCCGTTGCTTTTTTATGGATGTTTGTCCAACTGAATGGAACGTGCAGGTTGTTTTTCCTTATTCTGAAAGCACCACAACGTTTGTAATGAGCTACCTTCTCATGGTGTGAGTGTCATTCAGGTGGTCATTCTTCTTTGACACAAGTTACCCAGCACTCAAAGGAAGGTTTCAGTGTCCTTTAAGTCTTCTGAAAGCTGTGGAGTGGGGAGAGCCAGGAGTGCAGGCTGGATGTGATACTTCTTCTTCAGGAAAAGTGACAACATGGGTTAAAAAAAAGTCTCTGAAGTGAAGCTATGCCTTCAGATTCATTCTAAGGTTTCACACATTCATTGCCATCAAAGGGTTTATTCTTCTGTGCTTGTGAATTCTTTGCAAACAGGTCATTTTTTTTATCAGCAGATTTGTGGCTAATTTTGACCCAAATGACCATGGTTCAACCTCTGGTCTGTGCCTGGGGTTTCTCAGTTACCTGGCTTGCTCCTCTTCCTCTCAAGGCAGCCCCCTTCTCAAGACGAAGTAGGGGCCATTGATCCCTTTCGGAGCAAACAGATAATTCTTCATTTCAGATGCAGACTGGTTTTCTGCCCCTTCAATAAAGGTGGCAACCAGGCTTCCAGGCTCACAAAAGTCTCTTGGCCAAGCTGGAATGGGAGAAGCAAACCAGGAGAGAAAGTGAAGCCAAGGGAGTGCAAAGAGACTGCAAATTCCTGCGAAGGCTCTGAGGGGTCTCCACGCAATCTCTTCCCAGCGGGGGATCCACATGCGGTCTCTTCCCAGCTCACGTTGAGAGCTGTTCACTTAAGAGCCAGAAATTGGCTTTTATGTTTTTCCCCTCCCATTAAGCTGAATGTCACCTGTTTCATCCTCTTCACGACAGAAATGATTAGCCAGTTCGCTCTGCCTGGCCGGAGTGTACCTGGAGCCCTTTGCAGCAGGTCGGAGACAGGAGAATGCGCTGAGCCCTGGTTTCATCCCTTCCTTCTGCCATTTAAGCTTCTGCTGCCGATGCAGTACGGCAGCAGGCAGATGTGCCTTTCAGAGGCAGAACTTGTCTCATTTATTCTTTCTTTTTTTGTTGTTGTTACCTACCTAAGTGGAAGTGGAAAATTTGTCTGATCAGACAGGGAAGGAAATAAGAGATCAGTCGTGCCATATATACCCAGATGTTGCGTTTTCATAATTCTACGTGCATCTGTACTCATGGCCTCTCCGAGGAGCCTGCATACAGCCTGCTCGCTTGAATATGGCCCTTGCACCCGCACGTGCTTGCACGTGATTTATTTATTTTATTCTTTTTTATTTTTTTAGCTATGTAAATATACGTGTGTTTCCATCTAGGTGCCGAAGCCTATAAACCATCTTTGGGAGGCAGAGAGGGCCCTG